GGCGTGGTAGCGCGCACCTGTAGTTCCGGCTACTTGGAAGGCTGAGGTGGAAGGATCACCTAAGCCTAAGGTCGAGGCTGCAGTGGTCGTAAGCGTGCCACTGCCTTCCAACCTGGGTGACAGAATGAGACTCCAACTCAAAAAAAAAAAAGATACTTACGGACCACCTGCGAAGCTATGCAATCGTGCTTTTAGAACACATAGGTGCTAATGGCAAGGCAGTTGGGGCAATGAACAGGGGGGTTAGTCAGAAGTGAATCCTGACCTGAAGGCTCAATTGGAGTTAGCAGATTTAGGGAAGGTAGGGGTTCAGGAATGGAAGCTGTAGCATTGAAAGGCCAAAGGGTCACTCAGTCAACTAACCCTTAACTGTACCCCACAATATCATAATAAAATATATTGTTTATATATATATATAAAGAAAGCCCAAAGGGAAGAACAGGTGATAGTTGGGAGTTCCGGAGCTTAGAGTGTGGTGGGTGAAGTGCAGGAAGCTGAGGTGGTATGCAGGAACTAAACTCTTGTAGTGCAACTGGAGGCCATTCTAAGATTTTTAAGGGGATGACATGATTGTAGTTATACTTTGTGGAGGTAACATTACCCTTGAGAGAGACTTGGTCATGGCTGTGAAATTTCTTGGAATTGCATCTGAAATTCATGCTAAACATTGCAGACACACAACTCTATTTCCTCTGGCTCTGCTCACTCAGTATCCATCTATGTTCATCTCCTCTATCCTTTCCTTGGGAGAAGGGATTCTATTAGGGAGGAACCTCCTCTTTCTCCCTAAAAATGCAGCTTTCATGTATCTCTCTCGGTCTCTTGTGATTTATTTACTGTGTACTGTGTATTGCTGACCTTCTTTCCTGACTCATGATTCAGGCTCAGCTGAATCAAGGTCAGTATTTTCCTATCCTACATTAACCTGTTTCAAATTCTACAAATTTGGGTTTATATAATAGAAATGGATGCTGCCCTTTGTTAATGCTTGACATTGGTCTCTCAAAAAATTTAAATTATTAAAAAGTTAAATTTGATTAAAGCAGATTAATTCTATTTTTAAGCAGCTAATGAGTGCTTCTTTCACACATGTGATCTGCAGATCTTAAAACCACATATTCTAGTTTGCAGATTCCAACCCTAGATATTCAAATAGAGAAAGAAAAAGGATTATATAGACAGTGGTACCCAGAGACTAATCCACACTTGATACAGCCTCCTTTAGTCATTCAAGGCTATGTACATCTCCCCAACTCACCACCTCAGAACACAAGACTAGTAAAAGACAGTGTACTGACTTCCTTAGTCTTGAAATTAAGTATGATGAAATAAAGCAGGGTTTGGAGTCATTGGGGATTTTGGAATAGATGTGGAGTTTGCAGCTTTTTTTTTTTTTTTTTGAGTTGGAATCTCACTCTGTCATCCAGGCTGGAGTGCAGTGGCATATTCACGGCCACTGCAGCCACAAACCTGCTGGGCTCAGGCAGTCCTTCCCCTCAGCCTTCCAAGTAGCTGTAGCTACAGGCGTGGGCACCATACCCGGCTAATTTTTTGATTTACTGTAGAGATGAGGTCTCACCAAGTTGCCCAGGCTGGTCTCGAACCCATGGGCTCAGGCAATCCTCTCACCTCAACCTCCCAAAGTGCTGGAATTATAGGCATGAACCACACCTCCCAGCCCCAACTTCTTAAAGTAATTAGAATCCAGATTTTTTCAGACAGGTAAGTAAATTGTGAGAGCAAGAATAATCATCCCTCTCTTCAGTAACTTGGGAGCAATTCCAGGACCTCTTTCCATCCCAGGATACCAAAATCCATGAATGCTCAAGTCTCTGACATAAAATGGCATATATTTGCATATAACCTATGCACATCCTCCCATGTACTTTAAATCATCTCTAGGTTACTTAAGATACCAAATATAAATCTAAATGTTATGTAAATAGTTATTATACTGCATTGTTTAGGAATAGTGACATAACTATTTACATAGCATTTAGATTTACATTAGGTACAAACATAATCATCCTTTTTTTCCCCCTACTTACTTTTTTTGGTTTGTTTGAGACAAGATCTGGTTTTGTCACCCAAGCTGCAATGTAGTTGCGTGATCATGGCTCACTGTAGCCTCAACCTCCTGGCTTCAATTGATCCTCCTGCTTCAGCCTCCCAAGTAGCTGTGACTATAGGCTTGTGCTACCAAGCTTAATTTTTGTAGGGATGGGGGGTCTCGCTGTATTTCCCACGTTAGCCTTGAACTCCTGGCCTCAAGTCATCTTCCCACCTTGGCCTCCCAGAGTGCTGAGATGTTAGCCACTGCGCCCAGCCTCTGAATGCTTTTGATCTGAGGTTGGGTGAATCCAAGGATGCAGAACCCTTGAATATAGAGGGCTGACTGTAATATATAAGAATATTACTTTTATATATAAAACTTTGTGGCTCAAGCCTGTAATCCCAGCAATTTGGGAGGCTGAGGCAAGAGGACTGCCTGAGCTCAGGGGTTCAAGAAAGCCTGGGCAACTTGGTAAGACCTCTACAATAAATAAATAAACTGGGCTTGGTAGTATGTGCCTGTAGTTCCAGGTTCTTGGAAGGCTGAGGAGGAAGAATTGCCTGAACCCAGCAGGTTGAGGCTGTGGTGGCCATGAGTGTGCCACTGCACTCCAGCCTGGGTGACAGAGTGAACTCTGACTAAAAAAAAAAAACAAAGTTTACAATTTTCATTGAAATGAAAGGGTTATGCCACATTAACCAAAGTCACAAATGTAAAATAAAGCTCTTCATTTGTTTAAAAGGAAGAAAGTTCTATATTATATTCCTTAGGTGACATTAATGATCAGTGACCTGACTATAGTTTCCATCTCTACTAGTAGCCAACCACTAAGCGTCTCTGGACTTTTAGTTTCCTTGTCTGTAAAGTGAAGGAGTTGAAACTAGATTACTTCTTCCAGTATTAAGATGTAGGAACATACAATAAAACTTTAAAAAATCCTAACTGAGGTCAGCTTCCCTAATAATTATAGAGTGCCTCTGTAGATGTATTATGTACATATACATGTTTGTATTTCCTTTATGCAATTTACTTTCACTCTAGAGAATGCCATTTTATTAAATCTTTATCTGTGGACTTGTAGCTGGGGTGCTAATAGAGTTTCTGACTTGCTACTTCTCCAGATCACCAGTGAGAAGTTGTGCAGAGCCCAACATGAGCTTCATTTCCAAGCTGCCACCTACCTCTGCCTCCTGCGTAGCATCCGGGAACATGTGGCTCTTCATCAGGAATTTCATGGCAAGGGTGAGCGGTCAGTGGAAGAGTCTGCTGGCTTGGTGGGTCTCAAGTTGCCTCATCAGCCTGGAGGGAAGGGCTGGGAGCCATGAAAATGGAGAGTTTCCTCGGAGACTGCATTCATAGGAGAATTTAATCATTTCTGTCAATATGTATTTATCATTAAAAATTTTTTTTAAGTTTAGGGTTTTTCCTCTGTAATTTTGTTGACCGAATAATGGTTTTTAGGGGAAATTAACAGGAGACACTTTCATCTTTACGCTCAATGATTTTACTGAACTTCTTATACTAGGCTGATGTTCTTTATTTTCAAAATGGTTAGTTTTCATTTTCTTTTTTTTTTTTTGAGTTGAAGTCTCTCACTCTGTCGCCCAGACTGGAATGCAGTGTCATGTTCCCAGCTACTGCAGCCTTGACCTGCTGGACTCCAGCGATCCTTCTGCCTTAGCCTTCCAAGTAGCCAGAACTACAGGCGTGTGCTACTACACGTGGCTAATTTTTTTGATTTATTGTAGAGAGAGGGCTCGTCAAATTGGGTGGATCTCGAACCCACGGGCTCAAGCAATTCACTCACCTTGGCCTCCCGAAGTGCTGGGGTTACAGGCTGAGCCACCGAGCCCAGCGGGTTTTTTCAATTTTAAAAGGAATGTAAACCTTTTGTTTTAAGGAATTCAGACATTATGAACATCAAAGAAAAGCAAGCCCTCTTTCTTTTTCCCATACATATTACTGGATGGTAACCGTTTGTTGTTCATCTTTCCAGATATTTCCTTATGCATATATAAACAATTATATATATACACCTTATATTGGCTGAACACAGTGGTTTAGCCCTATAATCTTAGCACCTCAGGTGACTGAGGTGGGAGAATCGCTGGAGCCCAGGAATTCGAGACCAGGCTGGGCAACACAGCGAGATCTTGTCTCTCCAAAAAATAAAAAAATTAGCCAGTCATGGTGGTACTGGCTTGTAGTCATAGCTATTCAGTAGGTGAAAGTGAAAGGATCATCTGAGCTCAGGAAGTTGAGGCTGTGGTGAGCTGTGATTGTGCCATTGCGCTCTATCGTGGGCTACAGAGTGAGACTCCAACTCAAAAAAAAAGAAAAAAAAAAACATGGCCAGGTGCGGTGGCTCACGCCTATAATCCCAGCACTTTGGGAAGCCAAGGTGAGAAGGTTGCCTGAGCCCACAGATTTGAGACCATCCTAGGCAACTTGGTGAGACCTCTTCTCTACAATAAATCAAAAAATTAGCCAGGCAAGGTGGCACGTGCCTGTAATTCCAGCTACCTGGAAGGCTGAGGCAGAAGGATCACCTGAGCCAGCAGATCGAGGCTGCGGCGGCTGGGAGTGTGCCACTGCACTCCAACCTGGGTGACAGAGTCAGACTACAACTAAAAGAAAAAATTACATATATACCTTTATAAAAATAAATATAATGTGTTGTATACCTGGCAGGAAATAAATGGTACACTCAAATAGCGTTACTGAAGAGAGTTGAAGGCATACATAAAGATGTAGGCTGAATTAAAGTCACAATGGTAAAGATTTTAGGAGCTAGCAATAGTGGAAGATTCTTTTTTTTTTCTTCTTTTAAAAATATGTTTATTGGGCAGCCCCTGAACCAGAATAAGTTCAGAGACTCCCTAGTGGAAAGTTCTTTATTTTTTTTTAACTTTTTAAAATTTTTTAATTTTTTATTTTCAAGATGTGGGGTACAATTCAGGGTTAGGTATACAAGTTTTCATTATGCAGGTACCCTTGTTGATGAGGTATATCCCCCCGCCAAATTTCATCTATTGCCAGTCCCACCACCGCCCCCGGCAGTGGAGAGTTCTTACCCCCCTAGACTGACATGTGCTGGTCCTTAAGTTGAGGTAGGTGGCCACAGCTCAACTGCAGTCCATCCGAGGCAGTCCAGGGAGGGAAGATGGTTGAGCATATTGACATCTCTTTCTACCTCCTAATCTTGTCAAATTACTGCTCTTGAACGCCCTATCTAGGCAAATGGCTCTACCATGCACTCGCCTAACCAAGTCAAAAACTTGAGGCCAGGGATGATGGCTCACACCTGTAATCCCAGCACTTTGGGAGGCCAAGGTGGGAGGACTGTTTGAGGCCAGGAGTTCAAGATCAACCTGGGCAACTTAACAAACCCTGTCTCTACAAAAATAAAAAATTAGCAGGACATGGTGGCACATGCTTGTAGTTGCAGCTACTCAGGAGACTGATGCAGGAGGATGGCTTGACTTGTAGTAAGCTATGATAGCATCATTGCACTCCAGCCTGGGTGACAGAGTGAGACCCTGTCTCAAAAACAAAAACAAAAACAAAAAAACCCCTTGAGCTTCATTTGGTATTACTCCCTGTCCCCTAACTCTCCTCATTCAGTCAGCCAGCAATTTAAGCGTCCATCTCTACTACCTCTGCCCTTGTTCAAGCAGATAATCTTTTGGTTGAACCATTAAAACAGTTCTCTCTTTTTTTTGAGTTGGAGTCTCACCCTGTTGCCTAGGCTGGAGTCCAGTGGCACCATCATGGCTCACCACAGCCTCAACCTTCTGGGCTCAAGCAATCCTTCTGCCTCAGTCTACCAAGGCTGGGACTAAAGGTATGCACCACCATACCTGGCTAATTTTTTTTTTTTATTTTTCGGTAGAGACAAGGTCTTGCTATGTTGCCCAGGCTTGTCTCAAACTCCTGAGCTCAAATAATCCTCCTGCTTCGGCCTCCCAAAGTGCTGGGATTACAGGCTTGAGACATTGTGCTTGGCCAGAAATAGTCTCTTAAATGGTTCCTTTGCTTCTTATGTCCTTAATTTCTCCAGTAAAAATCATTCTCTTCTGTGAATTACTAACACTTCTTTATGTTGTATACCCTTTATGGTATGTCAGTTTCTTCTGGTAGATATGAATTGTAACCTCTTTTGTCCTGGACCATAAGCTCCTTAAGCATAAGGACCAAGACTGGGCACGGTGGCACACGCCTATAATCCCAACACTTTGGGTGGCCAGAAGTGAGAGGACTGCCTGAGCCCACAGGTTTGAGACCACCTTGGGCAACTTGACGAGACCTCATCTCTACAATAAATCAAGAAAAATTAGCCGGGCATGGTGACACATGCCTATAGTTCCAATTACATGGAAGGCTAAGGCAGAAGGATCGCCTGAGTCCAGCAGGTGGAGACTGTGGTAGCCATTAGTTTGCCACTGCCCTCCAGCTTGAGCCAACAGAGACTCGAACTAAAAAAAAAAAGTGTAAGGACAATATCTCATTCATCTTTGCAGTTTCCCAAGCACCTTCCACCGTACGCATAACACATACTAAATAAATATTTTTGGTTGGGGTTGGTGGCTCAGCCTGTAATTTCAGCACTTTGGGAGTCCGCAGGTTTGAGACCAGCCTGGGCAGCTTGGTGAGCCCATGTCTCTCAATGTAATAAAAAATTAGCCAAGCGTGGTGCATGCGCCTGTAGTTCCAGCTACTTAGAAGGCTGAGGCGGAGGGATACCCAGAGCCCAGCAGGTCGACACCGGGATGGCCATGAGCGTGCCACTGCACTCCAACCTGGGCGATAGAGTGAGACTCCAACTCAAAAAATAATAAGTAGATAAATAAATGTTTTGATTACATAACTCCACTCACTAGAAAGAGTACAATTTTTTTTTGAGTCACCCAGGCTGGAGTGCAGTGGCACACTCAGGGCCACCACAGCCTTGACCTGCTGGATTCAAGCGATCCTTCCACCTCAGCCTTTCAAGTAGCTGGAACTACAGATGTGCGCCACCATGCCTGGCTAATTTTTGATTTATTGTAGAGACGAAGTCTCACCGTGTTGCCCAGGCTGGTCTCTAACTCATGGGCTCAGGCAAGGCTCTCCTCTCAGCCTCCCAAAGTGCTGGGATTATAGGTGTAAGCCACCGCACCCAGCTTGAAGTCATATAGCTTTAAGTTTTAATTAGGTTAGTTGACCTGTGCTTGTTCCCTTTTCTATGAAATGGGAATGCCAACAAGGTGGCTATAAGAAATGAGAATAATGTTTATGTAAAACACTTGTATGGTGCATAATGAGTGCCTGACAATAAAAATTTGTTTTCATCTTTTTATTCTCATTCCTTTTATCATGAACACTTTCCTAAGCCCTACTGCCTACCAGTCTTGAGAAGTATAGGCATATTATGTATCATGGTTTAAATAATTTGCTCAGGCCATTTCTGTCTACATGTAACCAACCTGTACCTCTATCAAGAGTCAGCTGAACTCAGTATTAGACATAGAAAGTATTGATTCTGGAAGACAAACTTTTTATATAGGAAGGTCCCCGACAAGGGTTTGGCACGTTATTATCTTACTGCTCTAGTTTTTGATGTGATACAAGCTTCATTACATCCCTTCACTTTGCTCTTTTACCCCCTTCTCCTTTAACTTCAACTGTTCCCTCTCACTGGATTTTCCTATTAGCATTTAAATATGCTTAAGACTTTTCCTTCTAAAAACAACCACTCTGCCTCTATCTCAAATGCTTTTTTCCAGCTACTACCTTCTCTTGTCCTTTTTTTTTTTTCCTTCCTCTTCCTCCCTCCTTGCTCCCCCTCAGCCTGGCTTCTCTTGTTACTCTTCACAAATTGAATGAATATATTTAATGACTTGAATGAATTGTATTCACTTGCTACTTTTAAAAACTTACAAAATAAGTTGTATCAAAGTAAATTTATATATAATAAATATACTCATTTTAAGTGTAATGTCAATGAATTTTGACAAATGAATGCACCTGTGAAATAATCATCCCAATAAAGCTATGTAACATTTTCGTCAACTTAGAAAGTTCTCCTGTGCCCCATTATGGTAAATCCCTTTTCCCCTCACCTAGTTCCAGGCAATCACTGACCTGTTTCTGTCACCATAGATTAGTTTGGCCCATTCTAGTATTTTATTCAAATACAGCCATATAGTATGAACTCCTTCTGTCTCCTTCTTTTGCTCAGCATACTGATTAGTTAGTAATCCATGTTGTTGCATGTGACCATTTTCTGCATTTTTCACCGCTCATTCATCCATCCTCAACCCACTGCACTCTGGTTTCTGCCCCTCCACTCCATCAACACTGCCTTACAGGTTATGAGTGACCTTCAGGACACTAAACCCAGTGGATCCTTATCCATTCCTTGTTTATTCTCTAGGGAACATTTTATACTTTTGGCCATTACCTCCTTTTCCCCTGGCTTTGATGATACCACATTCTTCTGTTTTCTTTCTTCACTCTAGCCATTTGTTTTTAGTTTCCTCTTGGATGTATCTCATATATATTGGTGTTCCTCAGAGTTCAAACCTACCTCCGTACCTCATACTCTACATGCTTTCCCCTGGGTGATCACTTGGATACCTTAAGGATGTACAGTATAACTTCTACGGTAACCGTTAAAAGAATAAAAATAAAATTTCCAAAATGATAGAAAAAAATTATTAAAAATGCAAGAAAGGAGAGAAAATTAAACATTATATAATACAAATAGACAACATGAGAACTTTACACCAAAACATAGGAGTAATTACATGAATATAAATGATTAAATGCTTCAAGTGAATATAGACTATTTTTTTTTTAAAAAACCCAATTATATGCTGTTTATCTTAATTTTTTTTTTTTTTTTGAGTCGGAGTCTCACTGTTGCCCAGGCTGGAGTGCAGTGGCATGCTCACAGCCACCGCAGCCTTGTCCTGCT